GATAAAAAAGTGAAACACAAGAACTACAACTGACTTCCAGCCACAGAAGACATTACAAAAAGTAGCATTACTTACCACTTTTTACTAACCAGATTGACTTAAAAAAAATGTTATACGTCTACAGAAATTCTTATTAAGAATTAACAGAGGTTTAGATGTTGTTTTGTTTCATTTGATGTCACCATTATAGAGATCAGTGTTTGCTTTAGGTTGGCTCTTGACCAAGAAAAACAGTAAAATACGGTAAAATCTGAAAGTCAGATGTATTAAACGATAGAATAAAGTCAATAACTTATGAACTGAATTGTTTCACAAGATAATACAGACGAGATCTATTGGTTTAATTAATTCGTTTTGTGGGTCACAGCGGTAATGGACAATTCCATGTCCAACCTGTAGGCCGACAGCAGACGAAAAGTTCTTTAGTGTTGCTTTAATGACTATTTTAGTAATAACGTTTTTTGGCTATATTGCATTTTGCAGACAGACCCTTCAGACTTGTCTCTCAGCCACCTGTTCAAAGTTGTCTAAGTTACTGCGATTGTAAATAAGTGTGATTTGTGTTTTAACAAAGTTTAGCTCACGGGTTATTGATCCGGGGAGTTCAAAGCTGTGAATATACAGTATTGCCAACTTCACTAAACTCCTTGAGTTAAGTACTGACTGCATTTCATTATATTTGCGCCCAAGTTCAAACACTATGAAGCGCTCCATTAACGTACAGAGATCTGAAAAACTTCCAGCGGGGCATTAATCAGGAAGTGTCTGAGTTACAACAGGTTTTGCGTAGGAAGTTTTGCGAGATTTCTTTATTCTCCCCAAATGTTTTCCACCACCACGTCTCTTTAGGGGTTCCGTAGTTACTCAGGAAATGCAACGTTTCGTGTGGGAACACAAAATATTTGAAAGAGAACACAAAATCATTGACATATTTTTTTTTCCATCACCATTTTTTATTTTAATTTTTTTTTTGCAGTGAAACAGGATTTGTGATCAGCTTAAAGTTAATAGGTGAAAGACAGCGAGATAGCCTTTGATATTAAGTGATGACTTTAATTTCTTGTCAACCCAAACTTGACTTTAATCTGTTGTTAAATACATAGAAATTATGAAAAAGATCCACATGTGGGAGGACTGTCACAGGCTAAAGACTCATCTAATGTATGCTGTGCTGCGATAAGTGAGGAGGAAGAATGAATATGAATAATTAGCTTGTTTCACTGCTGAAATTTTACTTCAGTGGAGGTTTTCTTGAAGTCAACTCAGTATCAAATATGCCATCTGTAAAATCAGGTCACAATGTACATATACTAAACAGGGCAAATAACATGAGAGTGCACTTCCAAAAAAGCCCTGATGGGAGGGTAAAGTTATGTGTGCAAATTAGCGTCTGGTTTAAAACGTGCTTTTTGGCAAATGACGGCCCAAATACCAGTAGATTGACTTGCGCAATCCTCAGTAAATCACCTTGCATAATTAATTTATATACTCTCCTCCAATAACTTTTGCGTCTGAAAGGCAAACTCCTTCAAATGCATGCATATCATATAATGTCAGCCGCAAAAATAACTGTTTCCACACCCTTTCAGTATTTTTCATGTGTCTTTTGTGAATTCTGACAGTAGTTTTTGAACACCAAGGAGGGTTTGCACAAGCTGTTAAATCTGGTCCTATGTGTCCTATATCGTCATGTAGATTATGGATACTAAATTCCAAATTCAGTTCCAATTCCAGATTGAAATCCAGTGCCAATCTGTGATTGGTCTTGAAGCCAAAGCTGGCTCAGAGGTTTTTAAATTGTGTAAACCTCATGACACATGATCAGAACAAATTTCTGCATAAACTGTCCATAAAACTTTCATATATTGTTGCTTTCATTTCAAAGCAACAATTTAATTCATTTAGATGATACTAATGTTTACATGTACAGGTCAGAAGTTAGGAATAATTAGGATTAGTTTTATGTTAGGATAGTTTTATGTTTTTTGAAATAAGTTTCTTTTCAGCAGAAAAAAAAACCTTTAATGTTTTAAATGAAAAAAAGGTAAAATTATGAAATATTATTGCAATTTAAAAGAACTGTTTTCTATGTGAATATATGTTAAAATGTAATTTATTCCTGTGATGCAAAGCTGAATTTCCGGCATCATTACTCCAGTCTTCAGTTTCACATGATCCTTCAGAAATAATTATAATATGCTGATTTGCTGCTCAAGAAGACCATTTCACAAGATGTAAACAAGACTGGTCCAGAAACACTTCCTGTTTCAGTTTGTAACTGTTTTCTTTCTTTCACATGTAAAGAAAACATCTTAAAGATGTTTGTTTAACTTTTTGATTCAGTTTTAAATGTTCTGTTGGTTGTATTTTATCCCATCTTTTATGTAGTGTTAAAAAACTGAAACAGGAAGTGCTTCTGGACCAGTGTTGTTTACATCTTGTGAAATGGTCTATAATTATCAATGTTGAAATCAGATGTTCTGCTTCATAACTTTGTGGAAACGTTCAACAACAAATCGTAATTATTCCAAATTTTCACTGGTATTATCCATACAATTTTTTTATTATGAACTGTGAACACTGTAATTTAGAGTGTTTGATACAGACATTTTAACTTTTTTGGATGGATGACATTACAAAAAATGATTTTTCTTTTAAATAACATTCACTGATGATGCATTCACCCTATAAACCCCAAAACAACACGTGGTTAACCAATAAATAGTTTCAATATTTTAATTTTGTGTTATTTATTTTTTAACACTTTGGTGCTCTTCAGTCATTTTTGACCGAAAAACTTGTTCAAAAAATGTTTTGAAATTTTTACTCAATTGGAATGGTACGAAACTTGGCAAAGGTTTTTGGCACTTGCTATGTGAACACACACGCACACACACGATCATGGACATGATTAGAAAACGTTAAATAGTCCTGTGAAAAATAGTCACACTTGTGCTACTCACCTTGGAAATGAATGGGAGATGAATTTTATATAGTGGAAGCGTTTGGTACTGCAGTCAAACAAAATCTTACTGTAAGCTCTTGTTTAGATTTATGGCTTTGTTTTTCTTGCAGTTTTATAGTAAAACGTGATTTTAAAAATATATATTTTATAGAAACATTTTTCATTACAATACACATACAATTGTGCTACTTTTTTTCAAGTTTAAACTTTTTCACATAAGCAATATTCAGCCAAGTGTATATGAAAAGAGATCAAACTTAAGTCTTTCGTTTTTTAAAACTTAAAACTTCATTTTTTCAGCAATTTTCAGGTCTCTGCTCAAAAAGTGAATGAATGGAGAATAAATACAGCGAAAATATAATTTAGAATACAAATCCCCTAAAAATATATTGCAAAATATATACAAAATGTTAAATTCTTCTAGAGAGAAACTTTCAGTCACGTAGCACACAGTGTCCTTCAAATTTCACATGAAAATATACATTTTGTAGACAGCAATATCTCAGCTTGAATAGTGATTTATTCTTTCCACTATGAAGGACAAAAAAACAATCTTTCAGGTAATTTAATTACAGCAGAAAGATTCAGTATCTTCAGAAGAATGGCTGCCTTTTATGCATGAGTGCTGTTTCCTTTTTTCTTTATAGCAATTCAGAGTCAGAAACTGTCCAATCAGTGGATATGTGTGTGCTTTTAAAAGCTCTGAGGCTTTAGGCCTTCGCAAGTCTATTTGTCAAAGCATATTGGGGAATTTGTGCACTTTTCTGTTGTGTGTGCACTTAGACCTGTTGTGTATTGAGTGGAAAACAGAACAATGCCGAACACTAGCTTTTCTAATTATACGAGCAGAAATACATGGATACTTACCTACAAAGAAATGATAAATAAATAATTACCGACCTCATGCTATTAGAAATCTTTACAGTATGTCTAATTGTCTCTTGAAATCCCACTGCCTGAATCCTACTATTTACTGTTCTCTGTTATTTTCCCCCAATCTACAATTACATTACTCTCTGTACAACATTCTGTGGCCAGAAATCCTCTAAAATCATGGCAGCACCTCTAATCGCCCATTATGGTCATTTTCTTTTCAAGGAAGAGGCACACTGGTTTTGTTGAATCGATTTTTTACCCATTCCAAAAACCTAGTGATATATATACGTATACATAACGGAATGGCCAAAAGTGATGTACGGATGGGATTTTTTTCTAATGACCCTACAAATTTGATTGAACGATTTAAATATATTTGAAAAAAAAAAATAGAAAAATGGGTAACACTTTACTTGAATATGAAGGAGGGTTTAAGCATATTTATGACAACTGTCGTTTCAATTATGACATTTGTAATGCAAATATGACATTGTTTGAGATGTCTTTGTTATGACAACTTGGCATGAACCAATACATCATAACCTGTCAGTGTCTTTGTCATGACACTACTAAGACAACACAACCTGTCATAAAGATGTCATAAACATGACATAGCAGATTAATTATTAAGAAACCATTTAGTTTTAAGGGTTAACATTGCAGGTATAGTTGGTTTTGTCAATGGCTGTCATGAGGCCATTATAACATTTTTATGTCAAATCACCGTAAATTTTTACCACTGTAGTTGAGGTTAAGAAAAATATTCATGACACAGTTATAATGGCCTCATGACAGCCAATGTCAAAACCAACCGTATGACAGTTTAATGGAATGTTAACCCATAAAGCTAAGTGGTTTCTTAAGTTTGATAATTTATCTGCTATGACAATTTATGTTGTTTTGGAAATGTCAAAGTGTCATTACCAAGACTCTGACAGGTTATGATGTATTGTTTATGTCAAGTTGTCATAACAAAGACATCTCAAACAATGTCATATTTGAATTAAAAATGTCATATCATGATTATGAAGGTGTGGTTTCCGTCTTATGCACACGCCTTCAAGTAAAGTGTTCTCGAAATGCATAGGAAAAAAAAGAAGGAAAGGGAAATTGACCACAACATCAGTTATTAATATTTCAGTGGAAGTATAAGACTCACCTAGAGTTGCAGGCTCCAGCAGACTGGCCAATAACAGCACTTGTAAAACCGCCATGGCCCCACCCCTCATTCTGGATTGGCCGGTTTGTGAGTGGCTCCTCCCCTTCCAACTGATTGGTTAGGTGACTGTGTAGTTCAGAGTGGTTATTTTTGTTCAACAACTATAAAACCACCTATGAACACAAAAAGACAACAACACTTTTGTTAGTGGTCAACCGGCATGGATTTTTCAATGGTACAGATAAACTTTGTTCACATAATATTTATGCAAATTTATTTAAGCATTGCCCTTAAAATTGACTGGCACAAGGGACAAATAACACTTCATTCATTCATGATCATTTGTGCGTTTTTATTTAACCATTTGTAATAATTTTTCTTTTAGCTTTAGTTACCATTAAATCTGATTCAGATTAGCCAAGCATCAGCTGATTTATCACTTTAACGTTACAGGTTATCAATTATTTATTATGGTGAGCATATCAAGGCTTAAACATCTCCAATTAAACTGCCATCAAGTAGCTGCTTAGTAAAAAGTACCATAATATATCATGGTACTGTCATTGTTTGTTTTTGGACAAACACCAATGCATTATGTTAATCATTAAAGCAATAAAGTGCCATAAAGAATATGGCAATAATTCAGCGTTATATCATAGCACCACAGTATTATTGTTTGATACCAGCATTCATTATGTTAATGTGTTAGTGTGATCTGATCTATGACAACACAGGGTTTGACTTTTTTTTTCCCCTGAAGAAGACGGAGCAATTTCCCCGCTTTCACTGTCATGGCTGATGACAGTGATGTAATGTCTGGGGTCAAAGGTCACCTGACAAGGAAATTTTCACACATCAAAATAAAAATGGAAAAAAGAAAAACACTCAGCGTAATATTTCTCCTGAAGGCATTAAAAGAATAAATAACTCCACATGTCTAGGAACTGATAAATGGGGTCCCATGATGCTTTGCAGCACTGTTTTAGTGTTAATTAGGAAATAACACCACATAATGACCACAACAGGCAAAACCCATATAAAGCCAGATGCAGCACAGACGTCAAGCCTTTTACAGATTCAAAGCCATGAGAAGGTGTATTGCGAGCCACACAACGTAAGTTAAACCCCTGGTAACAAACAAGCTTTTCAACACCTCACTCCCTTTCTCCCTCGCTCCTTTCCTTCCTGTGGAATCCCGTTGTTTTTGTGGCTCTTGGGATCTGGCTGACAAAGGATCCTGTGGAATGCCGGAGCGCTCGGCTCGCTGCACTGGATATGAATAGGTGCTGATGTTTACAGATTCTTCAGGCCTGAAATCTCCAAAGCACTTGAGACTGGGCAAAACCAAACACTGGAGTTTCTACTGGACAACACACTACCATGACAGAAACACTGCTCAGCTTACTTGGCAATATACACTGCCCAGCTAAAAAAAAAAAAAAAAAAGGTTGCTTAAATAGGCAAATGCTTAAGAGTCTATCCTGAATCATTATTGCCGGGATTAATATGTTTTTCTATTATGGTATGTTTGATAACAGTTCTTCTAACCCTATCTGATGGAGTGTGTAGCTTTTCTTTTCTTAAAGTCCCAGTAAAGTCAAAATTAAGTATGTGTTCTGAGTTTGTCACACCACAGAAAAAAATAAAATATATATATATATATATATAGGTATATATATATTAGCCACCCAGCCAAATTTGAATGATAAAAAAAGTCGGCAAGTACATAAAATAAGCTATCAAAATCTTGAAAAAATGAGCAGTATTTAATCTCAAACGTTGGGGGCGTGTCCGCTAGCTGCGCTGAAACCACGCCCACTCGGGGGTAAAGCTGCCGACGGTGTTTAAAGTTTAAATTTAATGTCATTGACAGTAATTGTACACTTGTTGCACTACATAACCACCAAAAAAATTTTTCATTATTAAATAAACAATAGATTACGTTTTTTTTACAATTATAAATACTGTAATAATATATACTACAAATGTATATAAATAATACTACAATAACACTGGTTTAAAGTCACCATGAAATCAAAATGGATGGAATATTGCAGTATTTATAATAAATTGATTGTCTTTGCATTATTATTTTTTAAATCTATTATCTGTGCATTATCTTGCGACAACTGTTCTCTTCTCTGATGGTGTGTATACTTGTGTGAGGGCGGGGCAACCTGTCACTCACATGAGATCCACCAATAGCAAACCACAACCATCCAATTAATTTCTCATCATCAAAATCAAGTTCCGCCCAACATTTTTTCTCGTTCTAGAAGCCGTTTCACTCTGATACAGTATCTATCACAATAGCGAATAAAAGATGATCACAACTCCCATTTCAGAGAGATCACCACAAAAATGTAATGACTTAGTAATGATTTACTCACCCCCATAACACGGTCACATTTTTGGTTTTCTCATGCTTTTGTTGTCTGGGAAACAGTAGCATGACACATTCAAAATGTTGTGATCACTGTTTTCCAAGTCATATGTGTTTGGAACAACATGAGAATTTGACATTTTTCGAACAAACTGTTCCTTTAGAATGTGTGATTTCACTTTCACCCATGACGCTGAATAAACTTGTCTGCTTGTTTTATGTGTGTGCGTGTAAAAAAGTCGCAGTGTGCATGCACTGCGAGGAATCAGCCAATCAGAACAGAGCAGGGCATCCTGGGACAAGCAGGGGAGCAGGCGAGGGCTGAATCCCCAGTGTCAGCGCAATCGCTAGGCTTTTTTGAACCATGATTCCCTGTCGTCAGCGAGTGCATTGGGCTTGTTGCTCACCGACTCAACCACAACTGTCATGCACTTCCAGAAAGAAACAGGTCTGAATAAAGTCATGCACGCACACCATTATCATGTGCATATGTGACAGAGGGAGTTGTGAAGTCGGAGTATGTGAAAAACATGACACGTTTTAAACACGCATGCACACACAAACAAGTAGCAGCACATAGTCAGCTGTGGCTGTGGGAGTTGAGCTAAATGTGTTTCTCTACATCTATAATTGAGGGTGAGATTTTTCAGAAATTATCACATGCTGTTACACCTTTAATGCAATTTTACCGAACTAAGCCATTCCCAATTGCGCACACTCACACTCACTGTCTCTTTCTCTTTCTCCAAAACAAAATCTCCAAGTTTAACCAAATGGAATTTCCATCAAATGGAATTTCAAATTAAAATCACCAGGAAGTATTTTGGTGTTAACATATGCTCAAACACACAGAGATACAAACAAACTCTGGAGAGAGAACCGACTGCTGTGAATGCGACCTCTTGGCACGCGCTAAAGCTTCCTACAGGCCCTAAACACACACTCTCAATTAAACTACTGTACTAATACTCTGTAAAAAAAAAAAAAAAAAAAAAAAAAAAAAAAGTTCACCTAACTTAATATAAATAAGGCAATCTATAACATTCAACTTAAGTTAACTCAACTAATTTACTCCAATTAAAGTCAACTTAAATACTTTTGTTTCAAATATTTATTATTAAAGCACATATTCACAGTGTTCTATTATCTACATCATACACAGGAGTATAATGCATAACCACAAGGAAATGCGTACAGTTAGGACATAATGTGCTCTTTTTGTTTTGGAACATGCAGCAATAACAAAACAAACAGAAACACACACACAAAAAAAAAAAGAACTTAAAAATGATTGTCAAGGCAATTGAAGATTGTTTAGCATTTAGCTATGCAGGGGGTTACGATCCTTTGCTCTTTCTTCGTCTTTCATTCTGTTTGACTTTCAAAGCATGATTCGAACAGTATTTGCCTCTTAAAACAAGAGGCAAACATTTTTCCCTGCTAGGCAAATAAACTGCATACAAAAGTTGCAGTGAGATGCACATATACATCAACACTCAACAGATGTTAATTCGGTAAAAATATGAACTCTGAACCATATATGACAGCTAAATAACAGTGACAAAAACAACTGCAGCATGAATTTAGCCAGTAAATGCATGATTTTATTCAAACTGCAATGCATGCTGGGAACTGGCACAACATCGTTCAACGATAACTAAATTTGGGACAACATTTGGATAAGCTTTGGACAAATACTTGAGAATCTATAAAAGGCCAAGAAAACATGTCTGTTCACTCAAGATTATAAACTGATGCTGTTTAAGCTTTACTTTGTTATATATTTTAAATATTTCTGTTTAGCTTTAATTGTTTTATATTGTTTAATATATATATATATATATATATATGAAACATAATTTAGCGAATAAGCTGGAATAAAATAAAATATTAGATGTAAAAAATAATAATAATAATTTAACATCAAATATTAATGTTTTTTTTTTTATTTCAGCTTTTCAGCTTCCTATAAATGACCAAAAATTAATTTTAACAGTTTTAGTTTTAGTAAATAACACCACTGTATTAAAAAAACATGCCAATTTGATTTGTATTCATGTTGTCATTGTTCTTTTTTACTATTTCGACAAAAAAGTTGAGGAGGAAGGTACTGACGATTCTCAGGACGATTTCAACCGAAGTCCCCCAACCCCCCACCACCCCCACTGGAACACGATTTCAATCTTTTATCTCAACTAATACATTAAAATCACTTCAGAATGTTTCACCTTTCAACAAAATATACTGAATAAACTAAATGAAAACTGAAAATCTACAAATAAAGGCTAATTCGAAATGTTAGTATACAGTATAACATGTTTTTGGTCACTTTATCCTTTGTTGTCTGAAACAGTAACATCATGTCAGAAAAGCGGTTCTTGAACAGAAGCAGCTGAGAAGTGTATGGCAGACTGTAAGTGGCTTGTTAAAGCCCTACTGTACATGCATAACACTCATTCTCAGAGCTCTCGTAGTGTAGTTGGGAAATGATCAAATGTCCAATAAATGGCACAAAGAGAAGATTTTTCTCACCCACACATCTTTAAATGTGGGTTATCTGACCATCTATGTGTGTGTTTGTGTGTATGTAGGACAGAGTCCATATCATGATAACGATCAGGGTGTGTGTTGGTTTCCTCTAGTGAGCCGTGTGGAGCGACAAGAGCTTTCATTAGGATGATCTTCACTCAAACAAACACACACTGAGAAACACAATCCTCCGACACAAACGTTATCTGATGGGAGTTGAATGTAATGCTTCCACCGCAATGAATAACCTGAATACCTCTC